AGGGTCGAACAGAACCCCGAGGTTCCTGACTGGCTTTGAGAGGTGGAGAGTGCAGCCTTGGATGCTGATGCTGTCAGCGCCAGAGGTGCGGAGGCGCTGATGTGAGCCAATCAGGAGGGCCTCAGTTTTGCGCACGTTGAGCTGAAGAAAGTTATCTCTCGTCCAGGACTCGATGTCGGACAGACAGCTGTGAGGACATCGGTGGTCTTGGAGTTGAGGGTAGAGGAGGAAAGGTAGAGTTGGGTGTCATCCGCATACATGTGGAAGTTAACTCCATGTCTGCGGATGATGTCACCAAGGGGGAGCATATAGAGGGTGAAGAGGAGGGGACCGAGGACAGAGCCTTGAGGGTCACCGCATGAGACAGTGCGGGGGCCGGAGAAAAAGCCGTTTGTGGAGACAAAGTGAAGACGGTGGGAGAGGTACGACCTAAACCACTCAAGGACAGGGCCTTGAAGGTTTAGGTGGGAGGACAAGCGGTGGAGGAGGATAGCGTGGTCGACCGTATCGAATGCTGCCGATAGGTCGAGGAGGACGAGGAGGCAGAGGGAGCCCTGGTCACAGATGGTCAGGATGTCATTGGTGACCTTGACCAGGGCAGTTTCTGTGCTATGGGCAGCACGGAAACCCGATTGAAGGAGTTCGAATAGTGAATGGTTGGAGAGGAAAGAGCGCAGCTGGGAGGCCACAACTCGTTCCAGGACCTTGGATAGGAAGGGGAGGTTGGAGATGGGCCGGTAGCTTGATAAGGCCTGCAAAACCCATTGGGTTAGAAATTATAGAAATTATACCAGAAATTATTCTCTCAAACATGGAGGTGATGGGGGAGAACATTTCCATTGGTGAAGAGCAAAAACTGTTGATTTGCATCAGTTAACACTGCCATATATGTGCTAATGAGTACATACAGTGCTAATTAACTCACACTTTGCTAAAAATTGACCTTGTGAACACACTGATTGGTCCCTGTGTGGGCTGAGGCTTACTTAACCCCTCCCCGCCCTTCTCCATGTTTACCCCTGAAACATTGACTATTTTATTTATTTAGCCGCAAATATACCCAGCGCTAACCCAGCTCGAAAATGAGAGGCTGAACCGTCCCTCAAACTACACTGCAAACTACGATGTTTATCACACTTTCTATATGTCAGCAACAACATGCATTTGCACAGCAGCTGTCACGTAGGATAGCATCTCAAAGTGATGGGGTCTGACTCCGAGGAAGGGGAAAGTAGGGCGGGGGTAGGGGGGAGAAGACGGGTGAGACAGGGAGCTGCAAGAGTGGGAAGGGATTCAGACAGGCTACTCAACTGGCTTCTCCATCTCCCAATCCACTGGAAGCCTGACTTCAATAATAGGAAACATGATGGATTCAATCATTGGGGGAGTTGTGGGGTGGGGAAGTGGAAGATCACCTGTATAAGAGTAATCTAATAATTGACAGCCAACACGGGTTCAGAAAGGGTTGGTTTTGTCTGACCAATCTTAGACTTTTTGAGGAGGTGATAGTCCAGATTGAGTGTGGGAAGCCATATGATGTTTATCTTGATTTCCAAAAGGTGTTTGACAAAGTACCTCATGAAAGACTCCTCTACAAACTGTGGTAATTGGATAACAAGGGCAAGATATGCGTAGATTCAGAATTTGAGGGTCTTTATTAGGCAGAGTTATCAAATGGGATCCCGGGGCCGAGCCAGGGGGAGGAAGGTGACCAAAGGCGCGGTCGAAAAGAAAGGTCTTCAGCAGAGACCTGAAAATAGGAAGAGAAGGGGCGAGGCGAAGGGAGTGAGGAAGGGAGTTCCAGAGCCTTGGGGCACAGTGGCTGAAGGCATGGCTGCCGAGGGTGGAGCGAAAGACTCGGGGGTCAAGGAGGAGGCCAGACCCAGAGGAACGAAGGCAACAGGCACTGTTTTGAAGAGAGAGGAGGTCAGAGAGGTTGGGGGTGCAGAGGAGTGGAGGAATTTGAAGACAAGGGTGAGGATCTTGAAATCGATCCTCTCTGGGACAGACAGCCAGTGCAGTCTGGCAAGGACTGGGGTAATCGGGGAGTGGAGTTTGGTGCAGGTGAGAATGCGGGCGGCAGAGTTTTGAATAATCTGGATTTTATGGATGGTCGTAGAGGGGAGGCTGGCGAGGAGGGCATTTGAATGGTCCAGCCGAGAGGTGACAAAGACATGGACCAGAGTTTCAAGCGCTTTTGAAGTGAGGTATTGGAGGAGATGGGTGATGCGTCGGAGGTGGAAGAAGGCGGTGCTGGTGAGGGACTGGATGTGGGGGAGGAAGGATAATTGTGGGTTGAACCTGACACCAAGGTTGCATACGGGTTTGGAGAGTTTTAGTGGGAGGTTGGGTAGATGGAGGAGGTGAGAACTGTGAGATTTTAGACGTTGATGAGAGCCAAAGAGTATGGCTTCCGTCTTGTCAACATTTAGCTGAAGGAAATCTGCGCTCATCCAGCCCCTGAGGTCTGACAGGCAGGCTGACAGAACATCAGGGGAATGGGGTCGCAAAGGGAGGTGGAAAAATAGAGTTGGGTGTCATCAGCATACATGTGAAAATGTACCCCATGTCTGCGGATGACATCCCCAAGAAGGAGCATGTAGATCAGAAAGAGGAGGGGGCCAAGGATGGATCCTTGGGGTACCCTGCAGCTAACCGGGTGAGAGCGGGAGGAGAAGCCGTTTGTGCAGATGTACTGCTGGCAGTTTGTGAGGTAGGACTTGAATCAGGCGGGTGCAGTCCCACTGAGGTGGACGATGGAGGCAGTGGAGGAGGATGGCGTGATCGACTGGGTCGAATGTGGCAGAGAAGTCCAGGAGGACAAGGAGGCAGAGGAAACCCTGGTCACAGATAGAGAGGATGTCGTTTGTGACTTTCACAAGCGCAGTCTCTGTACTGTGGGCGGAAAGAGGGAGTGGGAGTAGAGGTGTGCGCGAAGTTGATTGGTTGATGAAGTCAGCCTGTAGTGGGCAGAGGAGGGGGAGCTGGGTGACCAGCAAGTTAGTGGGGAGGGGGTTGAGGCAACAGGGGGTGGGTTTCATGGAGGTGATGGTGGGTGAGAGGGAGGAGGGAGAGATGGGGAGGAAGGAATGTAGGATGGGGGTGGTGGTAGGAAACGATGATGGGGAGGGTGAGGGGGACAGAGAGGGCGTGGTGGTGGATGACAAGAGGCAGGTGGATGATGCTGCCTGGTGGATGTTGTGAATTTTAGATGAAAAGAAGTCCATGACCTTCTCGCACTTGGCATTTGATATGAAGATTGAGGAGGCCTGAGGGGGGGCACGGAGGAGGGAGTGAGTGGTGGAAAAAAGGATTTTAGGGTTGTGTTTAGCCTCCAAGATGTCTGTACCCTCAGGGTCTGTAATGTACTGGGACCCTCCTTATATATTAATGACCTGGATTCATAGACCCAGTGTAAGATAGCTACATTTCCAGATGACACCAAGTTGGGGGGAACTGGAATCAGAGGAGGTAGCAAAGGTCCTACAAAGAAAGCTTAATAGGGTGTGCACATGGGCTGACAACTGGCAAATGAAGTTTAATATCAATAAATTTAAGGTACTACATACTGAATCCAAAAATAGCAAGCACAAATACTCCCTGAATGGGATACAGCTTACCAAGGGGTAAGATGAAAGAGATCGAGGGGTGTTAGTTGACTTGTTGCTCACTATGTCAAAACAGTGTGAGGCAGCAATAAACAAGGAAACAGGATGCTGGGCTGGATTACTAAATCAGTTGAAACTAGTTTAGATCCTGAGACAATGTACTCAGGCAGCACCTTAAATTCAGCTCTGGTCCATGACATCAGGGGCTCCCCAGAGACAAGTGCAGAGGAGAGCAATGAGGCTGATCCCAGTGTTAGAGGAATGAGCTGTGAGTAGTGATCACACAAGCTCAGGCTCTTCAGTCCTGAGAGAAGATGCTCAGAGAGGACCTTATAGAGGTGAATGGAATTGAGAAAGTAAAGCCACATCAATACTTTAGGATGTTTCAAGACAGTAGAACAAGAAGACACAGGTTTAGAGTTGTAAAGGGTAATTTTAGGACAGACACCTGGAAGTTTATTTTTGCCCAGAGGATAATCAACAACTGTAACAAGTAGCCAGGAAGGGTGGTTGAGGCCAGGAAACTGGGACTCATTTAAAAAAACAGCTTGATTCATTTAAGGAGGAACAGTAGGGTGGGTTCTGGAGGGTTGAGATTGAATGAGCTGAAGGGCTCATCATCCAAACCAATCTTGTCAGTCTTTGAGGTTAGAAGCGATAGAACCCTAGAATGTATAGAAGGTGATTTATCCAATCGTGTCTGTTTTTAAGAGCAATCCTTTCAGTCCCATTTACCTGACCTTTTCCTCCATACCCCTGTAGGTTACTCCTTTTGAGATATTTCTCTAATTCCCCTTTGAAAGCAAATATCAATTCTGTTTCAACCACTGCTCCCAGCAGGGTCTTCGATATCCTAACTACTCTATGTGAAAACCTTCCCATTTGTGTGCTTACTCTGTTTTACCCACAAAATACACAATCAATCCACTTTACAATATATTCTGTAAAGCTCATTGGGATGTCTCAATGATGTGATATCAAACGCTATATCAAATACAAGGATTATTATTATCTTGTTACTAACCATCTCAAACTATATAATATATAATAATCCTTGAATTTGATATAACGCCTTTTCACATCGTTGAGATGTCTTGATGCGTTTCACAAGATATACTGTAAAGTATAGTGACTGTGTATTTTGGGGGCGAAACATGGCAACCAATTGCACGCAGCATTGTCCCACAACCACTTGTGGATTCAATTTTTTTTAGTGAGATTATTACCCCCAGCGATTTGCCAATTGACTAATAATTATTACAAGGATTACAATGCCCTCAAAACACCTGCCACTAAGTTACTCAAGTCATCGCCACTGAAGTGACTCTTTTTCTCCCTTAAACTCTCAGTAAAACTTGGCTTCTGTTTTTTTTCTCTCTTCTCTTTTTGTAGCTTCAGAGGCTGAAGAGATCGCTGTCCTTCAAGACAATCCTGAGGAGCAAGAGTGTTGAGAACTTCTTCCAGCGTTCGAACAGCGAGGTGAAATTTCCCGAGTTGCTGCCACCACCAAACAGTCCTCCCACCCCACCTCCACCCTCCCCCAACCCGTCCGAGAGCTGCCCCAACCAGCAGCAACCCCCCACACAGGTCTCCCAGAAGCCCTCCATGCCCTCCAAGCCCATGAGGATGCACAATTTTCAAGAACATGTCTTCAAAAAGCCCACGTTTTGCAACATCTGCCATCACATGATCGTAGGTATGTCTTGCTGAAGGTGGGTGGGGTGGGGGGGATATTTCTCCAGGCAGTTGAGCTGTTGAGATTGCATGAGGTTAAATGGTTATGTGTTGCAGCTGGCTTCCCCCGTGACACACAGCCCATTCCCAGCAGAAATTAGCAATCACCAGTCCTTACAGGACATTGCGTTCCAGATTCCCCTTAATTTCCCGCCCACCCTTACCTCTATTTTTTACATTTCAGCCTGTGGAAAATAGGGCTGTTCACAAGTTAGAGGCTGGCAGGTGACTGCTATTGTGACAAACTGGCTTGATGGACAGAGGGAGCCCTGGCATTTTTCAACAATAACTTGCATTTATATAATGCTCCTCAGGCAGGGTAGTGTCCCAGAGCACTTGACAGTGGTGGAACACAACGCCGAACATGGGGGAGGGCTCCGTAGGTACGGTCGAAGAGGAAGGTCTTCAGGCGCAATCTGAAGATGGAGAGTAGGGGGCAAGGTGGAGGGATGGAGGAAGAGTGTTCCAGAGTTTTGGGGTGGGAGAGGTAGGTAGCCAGGGTATGAAAGGATTTGAAAACACATCTGAGGATCTTGAAATCGATTTTTTCAATGATCGGGAGCTAGTGGACCCTGGCTAGAATTGGTATGATTGGGGTACAGAGTTTAGTACGGGTGAGTATACGGGCAACGAGTTTTGAATCAGCTGGATTCTGCGCATGGTGGAGCTGGGGAGACTGGCAAAGAGAACATTTAAATAGTCGAGGCAGGAGGTGAAGAACACCTGGACAAGTGTTTTGACTGCTTCTGGAATAAGGTACAGTCAGAGGTGGGCAATGCGGTGGAGGTGGAGGAAGGAGGTCCTGGGAAGGGACCGGATGTGGAAAGCAAGAACCTTATGCCGAGGTTACTCACTGGTTCAGTAAGCCTGAAGGATAGGCCTGGGAGTTTGAGGAAGTCAGAGCCGCAGGACAGAAGACATGGACGGGAGCCAAGGATTATGGCTTGTCGACATTTAATTGCAAGAAGTTTGTGCTCATCCAGGCCCTGATGTCCGTCAGACAAGCTGATAGAACATTGGCGGACCTGTAGTTGCAGCTGGAGGAGGTGAAGTAGATTTGTGTCATCTGCATACATGTGGAAGTTTCCCCTGTCTGCGGATGACATCGCCAACAGGGAGCATATAGATGAAGAAGAGGAGGGTGCCATGGATGGAGCTCTGGGGTACACCACAGGTTACCGGGCAGGGCGGGAGGAGAAACCATTTGAAGAAATATTTGAAGGCACTTTGTCAGGTAGGACTCAAACCAGGCTAGTCCGGTCCCACTGAGGCGGATGAGGGAGGAGAGGCGGCGAATGAGGGAGGAGAGGCGGCGGATGAGGGAGGAGAGGCGGCGGATGAGGGAGGAGAGGTGGTGGATGAGGATGGCGTGGTCGACTGTTGAACGCAGCGGAGAGGTTTAGGAGGCTGAGTGGGCAGAGGGAGCCCTGGTCATTTGAGCGACTGGTTGACTCTGTCGCAGAGAAGAGGGGACCGATTAGAGATTTCCAAATTATAAAAGAGTTTGCTAAGGTTAGCAATAAATAGGTTGTTCCCACTGTTTGGTGAGTCTGTAACCAGGGGACACAAGTAATAATAATGATAATAATAATCCTTGCATTTGATATAGTGCCTTATCATGTCTTTGAGACGTCTCAAAGTGCTTCACAGAATCTACTAAAGTGAATTGACTGTATATTTTATGGGCGAGACATGGCAGCCTGCACAGCAGTGTCCCACAAACAGTCATGGATTGAGCGACCAATTTCTTATTATTAGTTTTTGCAAGGAATTATTACACCTGGAAAAGCAGATCCACTAATCATCTAACAATCAGGTTATTATTATTATTATTAACAACCATTTCTAGGCAGGGCGAAACCTTGGGCAAGTTTCCTTACTCCACACGCCTAATAATAATCCCTCCAAAAACCAAAAACAATAATTAAATTGGTCATTTTTCAATCTACGACTGTTTATGGGACACTGCTGTGCGCAATTGGCTGCCGCGTTCGCCCACAAATATGCAGTCGATTCACTTTACAGTGTGTTCTGTGAAGCACTTTGGGACGTCCTCCCGACGTGAAAAGCGCTATATCAAATGCAAGGATTATTATTATTATATTATTATTACTTACTGCTAGGTAAACAGAGGCCTCTGGAGTAAGGAAACTTGCCCAATATTTTGCCCTGCTGGGAATTGAACCCAGATCTCTCGCTTGCAAGGCGAGTGTTCTAACCACTGAGCTACAGGCCTCCACTAGGGGAGTGACTAGGGAATCTAAAAGAGAATTTAGGAGGAACCACTTCACGCAGAGGGTGGTGAGATTGTGGAACTCGCTGCCTGTAGCGGTGATTGATTCAGATATATGTATTAAAAGAGTGGGCTAAACCTTTACATGAGGGAGACGGGAATAGAAGGTTGTGGGAGGGATTAAGGAGTGGGTGACGGCTCGTGTGGAGTATAAGCACTGGCACAGACTGGTTGGGATGAATAACCTGTTTCTGTGCATACAATCTATGTAAATTTATGTGAGAGAGAGTAAGAGTCTGTGAGAGCCTAGGAGTCCTTATTGAAGTGCCTCCTGCAGTGTGTTTTGGAGATCCATCATCCAAAAATTTCCAAACCCAACTCCTGTGACATCCCCAGGTGTCTGGTTTCTATTTGTCTGCCATGGTGTCTGTGCTCTCTCATTGGAGAGAGTATCTAACACAAAGAAACCCATCATCAATAACAACTTGCATTGTTGAGTCCTGTAGCTCAGTGGCAACCACTGGTACAAGCTGGGTTCTATTCCCGGCAGGGCGAAATACTGGGCAAGTTTCCACGTCTTTGTTTACCTAGCAGTAAGTAGGAATTCGGTTGTTAGTCAATTGGTGGATCGCTTTTCCAGGGATAATAATCCCTGAAAAAATAATAATACTAATTTTGTCATTCAATCCACGACTGTTTGTGGGACACTACTGTGCCCAATTGGTTTCCTCATTTCACCCACAAATATACGGTTAATTCAGTTTACAGTATATTCTGTGAAGCACTTTGAGACAGCTAGAAGATGTGAAAAGCGCTATATCAAATGCAAGGATTATTATTATATAGTGCCTTTCCTGTAGGATAGCGAATCAGAGCACGTTATTATCAATACCACGTTTAAGAGGTTCTGAATCAAGTTGTGCCTTGAGCCATACTCCACTGAGAGTTGTTCAGGCTCCCTGACCCTGCACACCAGAGCTACCTGGTAGGAGGTTCTCCCTGGACAAGTGCTGGGAAGCTTACCTGTGTTCCCAACAGCAACAAAAACAGCAAGTATCAGCTGATTAACTCCAACAGTCTTCCCCCACCGCAAGCCTTGGCTCTGGCCAATCTGATCTTAACCACACACCCCCCCCATACAGGGATTCAATGAGCACTGGGTGTGTTCCTCCAGGGAGAGAGAGACTGCAGAGGCCATTCCAGACAAATGGAAAGCAGACATGGGTGGAACTCTTTGTAACTACAACAATAAATTACATTAATATAGCGTCTTTCATGGCGGCAGGACATCCTGAGGTGCTGGACAATGAAGGGTTTAGTCTGAACTGGGGGTTGGAGTTGAGAGGGGTGGAGGGTATGGGATGATGATCAAAGGCATGGATGAAGAGGAGGGTCTTGGGATGGGAACCTTGAAGGAGGCAAGGCAGTGGGCGGGACGGATTGGTTCCGGGATGGAGCTTGTAGGTCGATTTGGAGACTCTTGGGTGATGGGTATGTTTCCCTGTGCATGTGTCTGGCATCCAGCTGACTTCCCTCCTACCACCCCCCTCCCCAGCTGTTTGATTTGATGGTTGCCACTGACAAATGGGATCAGGAAGTGGACACATCGCCAGCATTTCATTTTTTTACACACATTTCTATATATATATATATATGTGTGTATGGTCACTTAATCCACAACTGTTTGTGTAACTGGCTGGCACGTTTCGCCCACAAAATACACAGTCACTACATTTCACAGTATATTCTGTGAAGCGCTTTGCAACGTCTCAGCGATGTGATGAGGAGCTGTATGAAATGCAAAGATTACTATTTATGTTTAATAAAAACCTTCCTTGCAGGTTACTCCAAGAGAGGATTCAGATGCAAGATTTGCAAATTGAATGCACACCCGCAGTGTGGAGAGGACGCTGCACAGCAACAGTGCACCGGAAAGATGGTGAGTAACAACAGCAACAACAACAAGATCTTATTTTGGTCACTCAATCCGCGACTGTTTGTGGGACACTGCTGTGCACAATTGGCTGCTGTGTTTCGTCCACAAAATATACATCAATTTACAGTATATTCTGTGAGGGGCTTTGAGTTGCCTCAAAGACGTGATAAAGTGCTATATCAAATGCAAGGATTATTATTATTACACAGCGCATCACGCAGGATAGCATCTTGACGCACTGCACATGGGCGGACACATAGCGAGGGGGAGGGGGAGATGACCATTAGGATGGTTGAAGAGGTAGGTCTTTAAGTGGGATTTAAAGACAGATAAAGAAGGGGGAGGATGTACTGAGGCAGGCAAGTGCAGAGGTTAGGAGGACAGTGGCTGAAGGCACAGCCACCAATGGTGGTGCACAGGGTTCAGGGAACTCACACCAGGCCTGTGTTAGCTGAGTGATGGAGGAGGCAGAGGCATGGGGGTGTAGGCAGAAGATCACATGTGGATTCCTCCCCAACATGCACACATTTACACACACACAGTTTCACACGTATCTGGGGGAGACATCAGTCGCCTGGATTTGGGGGGGGAATGATTTAAACAACTTCAGGAGAGCAAAGAGGTGGAGGAGAAAATCTGACCTGAAATAACCGGATCCAGATCGTCCCTGGAACCTTCACGCTTGTGCAAATGTGAAGAATATGAAAATTTTTAAAGAGGGGTTAACAGAAGTCCACTCCACATGTTCAAAACACCCGGCAAAGTCAATGGGATCCCGAGTTTAAACAACTGCAGGATGAGATGGGGGAAGGAACCCTTTTATCCAATTCAAGGTAATTGTTTTTGATCTGTGGCAGTCACAGAGCTGTGGCTAATGTTAATATGTGAGGAACACAGTCCTCCGTCGTATATGTGCCCTGTGAAGGCTGTAAATCACATCAGATTGAAACCTTTGCCACAAGCCTCCCATCAAGAGCTGAGCCAGAAATATACTAATCATAATGCAATAATCCATGCATTAGATAACTGCAACTCAAAACACTGCAGCCAATTCACGTGCACACAGCAACTGCCCAAAATTTTATTTGGGGGATTGTTGGTCAGGACACTGGGACAACGACAACAAATAATTGCATGTACATAGCACCTTTCAGTTGGGAGGATGTCCCAAGGCGCTTGACAGTGAGAGGTTTGAACCCAAGCTGCGGGTTGGGATCAGAGTGGAAGGGAAGGGTGTAGGAGAAGTGAAGATGACCGAAGACATGGTTGAAAAGGAAGGTCTTGAGACTGGCCTCGAAGGAGGTAAGGGAGGGAGGAGTCGAGGCGGTGGGGCTCCGAGATGGAGTTCCAGAGGGTGGGGGCAAAAAGGCTGAAGGCCTGCCACCGATGCGGGAGCAGGCAGGGCGGGGGACGTGAAGTAGGCCAGTAATTGTCTGCCATGTTTTGCCCACAATATATACAGTCAATTCATAGTATAGCCTGTGAAACGCTTTGAGACGTCTTAATGACGTGATAAGGAGCTATATCAAATACAAGGATTATTATTAATTTCTCCTGCATGGGAGGGAGTACAGAAGCCTCCACATCACTGGGGAGGAATCCAGCAATAAATCAGATTTTTTTTGAAAAAAACTACTTTAACTAAAAGTGTTTTTGGCATGATTTTCCCAGCAATAGTGGGAATCTGGGCATCAATCCAGTGAGATATTCACAGATTTACTGGTGTCCAACAATTCTGATAATGGCCTCTGATCAAAGAACCCTGTATCACACTTGATTGTGTACTGAACAGATAATAGGTAGCCAGCGTGACATTGAGCTCCCTCAGTCATATGAGAGGTTCGGGGTGAGGACTTTCATCGCATTTGATCTCATCCTTCCAGAGATCGCACCCCATCCTTCTCCCATCTCATGGTTCCAAGCATCCCAGTAAAACTGTTGTGTAACAAAATGTTTGTCCTAAAATTGCCTTTCGCACCCTTGACTTCTTGCCTTGTACAAGCGCTGAACAATGCAGCCCAGAGACGGGCCATTTGGCTCAGCTTTGAGATGTTCTGTATACGGGAAAACTGTGTAAGTGTAGATTCACCTTAGCTCAGTCGGTAGTGCTCTCGCCTCTAAGTCGGAAGATTGTGGGTTCAAGCCCCACATCGGGATTCTGAGCTCCCGGTCTGGGCTGACACAGTTCTGGGTGGAGAGAGCGGCACATTGTTGGAGACGCTTTCAGATGAGACGTGAAACTGAGGTCTCTGACTGCCTGTTCAGATGGATGTTAAAGATCCAGCGGCATTATTAGAAAAGTGAAGGCCATTTCTCTCTCCCAGCGTCCTGACCAAAAATTCACCAGATAAAATCAGTCATTCACTTCATGGCTGTTTGCGGGACACTGCCATATACAGATTGGCCATTGCATTTGCCTAAAGTCACTGCACTTCACAATAAAATCCTTTGAGACATCCTGACGACATGATAAAGGAGCTGTATCAAATGCAAGGGTTATTAATAATTGTTGGTGCTTTTTTACAAGTTTTGACGCATTCTGCTTCTCAATCCAGCAGAAAATGGCATATTCACATCACCCTCTGAGGCTATTGTTGTGGATTTACTTTCCCTACACAATTTAGGTTTACACTCCTCTATAAAATCCCCTCTGAAATGTTTCTTCTCAGGCTTTCCCCTAGACTTGTCTCGCTATTCCTCAACTGTGTAACGCTGGGTCACTGTGAGATTTGGGAGTATAGTAACAGTGTAGTAACAATGTGCTCGGTGGCTTTAGCTGGAGGTTCGTGTGTGTCTTGGGTGGTGTTGTCGTATTTATTGCAGGTTAAGATCAAGATCCTGAGAAATCAATGTAAGTGAAATGCGCTTTGTCTTAACAACTGCTCTCCTCTGTTTCACATCCTGATGGCGAAGCCCATGGGATTTCGGCGGAATTTCAGCTCCCCGCTTCTCATCCACGAACCATACAGATTTGTTAAGGAGGCCATGCCGATAGGTGAGTAAGCAGAGTTCCGCCCCCACAAAACATCTCATCTCCAGTCCTCCAAAGTGACATGTTTGGTAATGGAATATCAGAATCGCGTCTACCCTCTATGGGTCTGTGATCTCTAGTCCGGTTCTTGAGCCAAGTGGGTCTGCAGTATTCCAGAGCACCGCTGATGACAGCACAGCCCAGCCTGGCTCATCGACGGGACCTGGAAGGGCAGACCAGTCACTGGCAGCAGGGACTCTTCCCACTCATCTCCCACTAATCCAGCAAATCAAAGCCCTAATGGTTAGGGTGGTCCTAGCTGGACAACCATTAGGCAAGCTTCCCAGACAGTTCTTTCAATGGCAAGCTATGTGGGTTTATCTGGTTAGACTCCAGCAGTTACCTCAACGCACACTCTGGGGTATCCAAACCTTGGCTCTTGCCAATCTGCGTCTAATAGAGTCAAGATACATCTCTCCAGCGTATTCCATTCGAATACATGGAAGTTGGAATTCTTAGTTTGGTTTGGATACTCTTAAGCACGGTTTCCGCATGGGTCAGGCACATGGCTGACCAAAAAAAAACGGCCAATTCTCCAAACACTCTGGCCGGCAGAAAATGATACATCCTCACATCACCTTCCAGGGCTGTCATTCTGTGTTTACTTAAAAAAAATAAGAATTTGGTCACTCAATCCATGACTGTTTGTGGGATACTGCTGTGCGCAATTGGCTGTCGCGTTTCACCCGCAAAATGTACAGTCAATTCACTTTACAATATATTCTGTGAGACAAAGACGTAATAAGGCCCTATATCAAATGCAAGAATTATTGTTACTTTTTCCAAACCATTTGAGATTGAAAGTGCAGCTCACTCTGAGAGCCTTCTGTGCTGTAAATTTCTAGGATTCTATGAAAGAGAATCTTACACCCCTCCGTAATGTCCCTTCTGAGATAATAATAATAATCCTTACATTTGATAGAGCACCTTATCTGAAATGTCTCTTCTCAAGGCTGAAGAGCCCCGAGCTTGTCTATAGCCATCCCTGTGACACTGGGTCACGGTGATTGGGAATATCAGTGTCATTTAGAAGACAGTGACACTATCTGTCCGTGTCTTGCTGAACAGTGATTAACCTCTTCACAGCTTGTCCCACGTCCTTCTGGAAAAGTTGGACCATTCTCTCTTGTTATCTCCTCTTTGTCAAGTTTGGACACTTTGACCAGTTATGCCCATAATCAGACCCTGACTTGTGTCTGACACATGCGGAAACCCATCACCATGATCAGCCAGATATCTGACACGCGCGGAAACCCATCACTGTGATCAGCCAGGTATCTGACACACACGGAAATCCATCATCGTGATCATTCAGGTGTATGACACACGTGAAAACCCGTCAATCTAATCAACTGGGCGTCTGACACACGCAAAACCCATCATTGTTTGATCAGCCAGGTATCTGACACAAGCGGAAACCCATCACCGTGCTTAAGAGTCTCCAAACCAGACCGAAAGTTCCACATTTGGATGCCACCTACACATGTAAATGCCCCGTGTCTGGACCTTCTCATCAGTGACTTTCTCCCTTTCTATCCAAGCGACCAGCAGTAAAGTGGACCCAGTGTACGAAGCCCTGCGGTTTGGCACATCTCTTGCCCAGATGAGTAGGTCAAGCTTTGGGAGTCTGTCTGAATCTCCGACAAAACACCTGGTAAAGTAACAACAACTACGTGCATTTCTACAGTGCCCTTGATCCCCTGAGCAGTGGTGTGGTTTGACACTGAGCTGGGAAGAACAAGCTTCTAACTGCAGGACTGAGTGACTGACTAAGAGAGTGACTGAGTGAGAGAGTGACCAGCAGTAAAGTGGACTTAGTGAGTGACTGAGTGATTGAGAGAGTGACTGAGTAACTGAGAGCGAGAGTGACTGAGAGAGTATCACAGAGAGTGACTGAGTGATTGAGAGAGAGTGACCAGCAGTAAAGTGGACTTAGTGAGTGACTGAGTGATTGAGAGAGTGACTGAGTAACTGAGAGCGAGAGTGACTGAGAGAGTATCACAGAGAGTGACTGAGTGATTGAGAGAGAGTGACCAGCAGTAAAGTGGACTTTAGTGAGTGAGTGAGAGAATGAGTAAGTGAGCGAGCGAGTAAGTGAGCGAGCGAGCTAGCAAGCCATTGGGCAATGATGCACTGCCTCAGTGACTCTTATTTTCTCTCGTTCGACACAGGGTGAGAATGGAGACATTGAAGAAGAGCCGGATCTCACCACTACATGTTTGGAAGAGGTTGGGGAGGAGGAGAGTGGTGAGTGAGTGTGTTGGGGGTGGGGGATGCGGTGGGGGGAAGGGGGTTATTGGGGGAACACAGAGAGCAAGGAAATGGTAGAGGTGGCTTCCTGGAGGAACAAACACCGACATAAAATAATGGGCCAAATGTCAGCCATTTCTGTATGACTCACTGAACTCTTACACTGACTCTGTTTCTTTGCTGAAGTGCCAAAACCCACAGAGAATGGAAATGTCCCGACAGAGGAGAAAAGCCCTCTGCCCATTCAGGTACCTGCATTAGATGATTGGATTGGATGGAGTTGTGATGAGTGACTGTGATTGAGGGAATGAAGGAGCGAGGGAGGTATCTCTTATAATACAGAACTCTCATGGTACTGAGGCTGGTATATGTCTTTCACATAATAACAATCCTTGTTCAATATGTCCATCACGTCAGGGAATCGCTGTCAATCATAATGATTATATATTTGTAGATCAATGTGGCAGCCAATTTGGACATAGCAATGTCCCGCAAAACAGCTTTGAAGCAAGTTATCAATTGTATCTGTGGGATTGCTGGCCCAGACACTGGGAGAGAAACTCCTCTTATCCAATAGTGCCTTTTCCAACAGGAGCTTTAATGGCCACCTGAACAGGCACAGACAGGGAGCTTGGCTTAATTCAAAGGATGGTGTATCTGAAAATGCAGAACTCTTTCCCCCTCCCCTCCCCCAGCCTAGACTGTGAGTCTCAAAGTTCTCAATGTGGGGCTTGAACACCCACGGCCTTCTGACCCAGAGCTGAGATCGCTAACGAATGAGCCATTACACGGAAAGCCTGTGAGAGCCTTTCCTCCTCCGACTAATGCTGCTGTTTCCCTTTTGTAGGTCAGGAAGCTCTCCGTACGGAAGGACATGCTTCAGATGCACACATACGTGGCGCTCTACAAGTTCGTACCACAGGAGCACAATGACCTGGAGCTGCAGTGAGTAAATGCCTTGTCGCTCTGAGCATGGTAATAATAACAATAATAATGCTTGCATTTCATATAATGCCTTATGTTGTTCAGATGTCTCAAAGCGCTTCACAGAATATACTGTAAAGTCTAGTGACTGTATATTTTGTGAGTGAAACTCGGCAGCCAATTGCACACAGCAGTGTCCCACAAGTTGTCATGAATTGAGTGACCAATTTTTTTGAGGGGGTGGGGGTATTATTACCACCAGAAAGCGATCCACCAATTGACTATCAACCGGGTTCCTATTTACTTCTAGGTAAACAGAAGCGTGTAGAGTAAGGAAACTTGTCTAATGTTTCACCCTGCCTGGATATCGAACCCGGATCCTCTCGCTTGCGAGGCGAGTGCGCTAATCATTATGTTACGGGACTCGACTCCAAGATATCACTGGTTCTGTCACGCCTTACTGACCTTGTTCTGCACTGTTTCCTAGGCCGGGAGACAGGATCGTAGTCACAGACGATGCCAATGAAGATTGGTGGAAGGTAAGATTCCTCATGCCAGTCGGGATGGCAGGAGCTGTGGCCACGATCAATCCCATACTCTCACTGAGCTTGTAAACAAATTGCCAAACATTGGACTTTCTGAAATATTACCTAAATCATGATAATAATCCTTGATTTTTTTTGAGATCGTGCCTTATCACATCTCTCGAAGCACTTCACAGGATTTTAATGGGAAGTGTATGACTGTGTATTTTGTAGGCAAACGCAGCAGCCAATTTGTGCACAGCAACATCCCACAAATAGCCGTGAAGTGAATAACCAATTTTATTTGGGGGAATTATCGACCAGCACACCATGAGAGAGAAACTCCCTTCTCTTTTCAAATATTACCATGGGATCTTTAATGTCCACCTGAAAAGGCAGATGGAATCTTGGTTTAATGTCTCATCCAAAGGGCGGAACCTTGGACAATACAACACACCCCAGGGCTGCATTGGAGCATTAGCTTAGACTATGTGATTCCAAGTCCCGACGTGGGAGCTTGAACCCACAACCATCTAACTTAGAGTCAAGAGCCCGAGAGAAAGGGCGAGAAAAGGAGAAGAGATAATTTGACGTTTTTTTAAAAGGAGGGATTCATTTCAAATCCAGGCACTTTCTGGTGGTATTCATTTCTCAGCGCACATGGTTTACAATCTCTGCTCGGTTGCAGTGAGGATCTTAGCAATTGGCCCATGCCTCAGTGGAGCCTGACACCTAATTAGTCTTCTGGGGGGTTGTGACGCATAGTCTTGGAGATGACCTGACATTTATTTCTTATTATTCACTGCAGGATATGTGCAGACAGGTCAGAGATACGTCCCCAGCATGAATAATACGGAATAATGTTTACACAGAGCTTATTAATTCAGGTTCTGTGACAATGCAAAGACAGGAACCTTTCCTCTCTTACTTTTTGATCTACATGGGATGAATGTGAAACACTGTGTTGAGGGGCGGGGGGAAATTTTGCACAATTACTTTTGAAGAGGTCTGTATTGATGGGTTAAGATGACTAGAAATAATAATGATAATAATTCTTGCATTTGGTATGGTGCCTTATCACATCATCGAGACTTTTCAAAGCTCTTCACAGGGTATATAGTAAAGTAAATCGATTGTATTTTGGTGGCGAAATGTGGCAGCCGATTGCACACAGCAGTGTCCCAAATGCAGTCATGGATTGAGTGACCAAATTATAATTTTTTTGTGTGGAGGGATTATTACCCCTGGAAAGCAATCCGGCAATTGACCGACAACTGGGTTCCTACTTACTGTTAGATAAACAGAGGCGTATGGAGTAAGGAAACTTGCCCAAGGTTTCACACCACCACGGAATTGAACCAGGGTCCTCTTGCTTGCGAGGCGAGCACTCTAATCACGACGTTACAGGACTCCTTGGTTGAATCATCCAAGTGGACATTGTGGTGTCAGACCCTGGTTCACCAGAGACGACTGGAGTCCAATCTGAAGGGATGGCTTCCTCTTCCCCATATCCCACCCTCCACCCACCCCTCTCCCTCCACCTCTGTCCATGGGAAGTCCGATTGGCAGAAGGTACACTTGTCGCCAAGTGGAATGACCCATCGTCTGTAAGTCTTCAGGGAAGAAATAAATAACAGTTCTTGCATTTGATACAGCAACTCAGTCTTAATTTGTTGTAAAGAGTAATGAGTTTATTTTATAGGCAGCCAATTTGCACACATCAACATTTCATAAACAGCAGTTTTGAATCTCTTTTTAAGGAGCGCCAAAGGATTTTTAACATCCATCTGAACGGGGGGCAGACATGGCCTCAGTTTACTATTTCATCCGAAGAACGTCACCTCCAACAATGCAGTGCTCCCCTCAGCACTGCTTTGGAGTGTCAGCCCAAACTATGAGCTCATGTGGGGTTTGAACCCACACCCGACTGAGCAAGGCTGATGCACAAATTCCACCTTGGTCTAGATTTACTCCATTTATATAACATTTTAGTGAGTCTACAATTTGACAAGTTCGTAATGGCAGCTTTAAGGCTGAATTCGACAATTTGCCAAATTCTGGACATCCCTAATACCAGATAAATAGAATCAATATAAACCTTCTCTGCCTCTCGGACACTACCATGTGTGCAGGGCGCCCTATAAATGCAAGTTGTTGTTACCTAACATGGTTCTAAATTTCAAGAGATCGTCTTCCAAACGGAAACTGGAATTTTCCACAAATATTGAGCCCAAAGTATATCTTAAGTTAAAGTGGGATCTTCAGGCTCGGACCGTGTGGAATTTCCAGGTGAATGTGCATCAACAACAACTTGCATTTACACAGCACTCTTCACATGGGGAAGCGTCTCGGAGGGCTGAGCAATGACATAGTTAGTAACTGAGCAGGGTAGAAAGGGGTAAGTCTTCAGGTGCAATCTGAAGACTGGTAATGAGAGGATAAGCATTCATTTCACAAAGAACACAAAGGTGTTTTTTTTGTTCCAGGGCAAAATCAGAGACCGGATCGGATTTTTTCCCGCTAACTTTGTGCAGCGGGTCAGACCCGGGGAGAGAGTCTGGCAGTGCAACAGGGCGTTTCAGGGGAGCAAAGAGCAGGGACAGCTGATGCTGAAAGAGTTCCAGGTGAGCAATGAGGACAGCACGACCATGGTGTGTCTCCCCCCCCCCCCCCCTCCCCCCATGACAGCTCGAATCGTCTTGCTGAGGGTGGGAGTGGGAGAGAGGATGAATGGGGGTAGAAGATTGAAGAGATAAAGTGGTGCCAGCGAGTGGATGGATTCATAGGTCAGGGCGATGAGACTGAAATCAATTTCCCTTGGGAGCCAATGGAGCCTAGCGAGGACTGAGGAGTGATCGGTGTGCAGAGTTTTGGATCATCCAGAGTTTATAAACTGGGATGGGGGAGCTGAGAAGATAAGCGAAGAGAATGCTCCTTAAATTAATCTTCATCTTACCTCCTTCCTTCATCGCCCCCAAAAAAGCTTGCAAATTAGGGTAGAGGATAATCTGTTTAAGCCTCTGTGAAGATTGATTACAGCCTTAAAGTTGTCAATAATGAGCTGTGGGTGGAGAGGTGTAAGGCATTGTTAGATGGTAAACTGTGACTGAAGGGAGAGGGACTGAACCATATTGCAAAATACAATATAAAATTACATTTGTAAAGCGCCTTTCACGTCAGGAGGATGTCCCAAGGTGCTGAACAGTCAAGGATTAGGATATTGTTAGGTTATTGCTGCTCCACATAAGTTGCACTGCAATCTCTGTTTTACGGCTCACTTTGGTCCCAATTCTGGGCTTGCCAACAGTTGAAGCAGATGCTCGCTTGCTGCTTGTGTAAATGTTGCTGGAATTCAGCCAACCTGTGTTACACAGAGATGCTCCACTCTGAATACTCAAGCTGCCCACCCCCCCCCACTCCCACGATCTCTCGTGTTCACTCTATCCCTCCATAGTCTGGTTCTGCGGTGTATTGACGTTAATCCTGGTCCTTACCACCTAAGGGTGTCAGCCTGGCTCAGTCACTTGTGCTCTCGCCTCCTGAATTGGGATTGTGGATTCAAGCTCCCTCATCGGGGACTTTGAGCTCACAATCCAGGCTGACACTCCAGCGCAGTGTTGGGGGAGCGCTGCATTGTCAGAGGGGTCATCCTTCAGTTGAGATGTTGTACAGAGCTCCCGTCAGCACCTGTTCAGGCGGGTGATAAGGATCCCACGGCTATTGGGGAAAAGTGAAGGGAGTTTCTTCCAGTGTGTGGCCAACAAGTCACCCCCTTTTTAAAAAATGGTTGCTGTTTGCTGGACATTGCTATGCACAAAATGGCTGCAGTGTTCATCTACAAAATACATGGTCATGAAGTGAATGACCAATCTGATATGGATAGATTGTCGGCCAGGACACCGGGAAAGAGACACTCCCTTCTGCCTTAATTTGAAGCTGGGTTTCAACAAATAGTAATAATAATAGGCGTTGCATTTGATATAGCGCCTTATCACATCATTGCGACGTAACAGCAACAACAACAAGATTTCATTTATAGAGTGCCTTTCAAGTCGGAAAGACGTTCCAAGGCACTGGACAGTTGGGTCAGGACCCGAGCAGGGGGGAAATGGTCAGGGGGAGGGAAGGAGCGAGGAGGGGGTAGAGAGTCGAGAGGGGAGCTGAAGGCACAGTCAAACAGAAAAGTCTTGAGACCGGCCTTGAAGGAGGAAAGGGAGGAAGCGGAAAAGGCACTGGGGGATGGAGTTCCAGAGCCTAGGGGCTGAGAGGCTGAAGGCCCGGCCACCGATGGTAGGGCAGTTGGGGCAGGGGATGTGGAGCAGACCGGAGCCAGAGGAACGGAGGGTACGGGCAGGTAAGTAGGGGGATAGTAGGTCGGAGAGGTAGGAGGGAGCGAGGCCGTGAATGGCCTTGTAGGTGAGGATGAGGATTTTGAATTTGATCCTCTGGGGGATGGGGAGCCAGTGGAGGCGAGTGAGGGTGGGAGTGATGTGGTTGCGGTGTCTGGTGCGGGACAGTACATGAGCTGCAGAGGTCTGAATGACCTGCAGTGTGGAGGGAGGTGCCGGGAAGGCCGGCGAGGAGAGAGATCCCATAGTCCAGCCTTGAGGTGATAAAGGCGTGGACCAGAGTTTCAGCCGCGTGAGGGGTGAGGTAGTGCTATAGTCTGGCAATGTTTCGGAGGAAATGGAAGGCGGTGCCAGTTGTGGCGCGGATAAGAGGAAGAAAGGACAGCTCAGGGTCGAAGAGAACGCCGAGGTTCCTGATGGCTTTGAGAGGTGGAGAGTGCAGCCTTGGATGCTGATGCTGTCAGCGCCTGAGGTGCGGAGGCACTGACGTGAGCCAATCAGGAGGGCCTCAGTTTTGCGCACATTGAGCTGAAGAAAGTTGTCTCTCGTCCAGGACTCGATGTCAGACAGGCAGCTGTCAGGACATCGGTTGTCGTGGAGTTGAGGGTAGAGGAGGAAAGGTAGAGTTGGGTGTCATCCGCATACATGTGGAAGTTAACCCCATGTCAGCGGATGATGTCACCAAGGGGGAGCATATAGAGGGTGACGAGGAGGGGACCGAGGACAGAGCCCTAAGGGACACCACACGAGACAGTGCGGGGGCTGGAGGAAAAGCCGTTTGTGGAAACAAAATGAAGACGGTGGGAGAGGTACGACCTAAACCACTCAAGGACAGGGCCTTGAAGGATGAAGTGGGAGGACAAGCGATGAAGGAGGATAGCGTGGTCGACCATATCGAATGCTGCCGATAGGTCGAGGAGGACAAGGAGGCAGATGGAGCCCTGGTCACAGATGGTCAGGATGTCATTGGTGACCTTGACCAGGGCGGTTTCTGTGCTATGGACAGCACGGAAACCCGACTGAAGGGGTTCGAATAATGAATGGGTGGAGAGGAAAGAGCGCAGCTGGGAGGCGACAATTCTTTCAAGGACCTTGGACAGGAAGGGGAGGTTGGAGATGGGCCGGTAGCTTGATAGCTGCGACGCATCAAGGGAGGGTTTTTTCAAAGTGGGAGTGATGGTGGCAGTTTTTAGGGAAATGGGAACAGAGCCAGAGGAGAGGGACAGGTTGATGATGTCTGTGATAAGTGGGGCAAAGAGGTGGAGCTGAGATATAAGGAGTAGAGTGGGGATGGGGTCAAGGGAGCAGGTGGTGGGTTTCAGGGACAGGATGAGTTTGGTGACAGAGGGTGGGGAAGTTGGTTCGAAGGTGTGTAGGGGAGGATGGGTAGGAGTCGGAGTGTGGGAGGAAGGGGTGGGGGTGGGTGGAAGTTGGAGGGGGAGTGACCGCGGAGCGGATTCCCTTGATTTTGGATTCAAGGAAATTCAGCATCTCCTCGCAGTGAAGGTTGGAGGAGATGACCTCTGCGGGGTGGCGGGGGGGACGGAGGAGTCGGGATGTGGTAGAGAACAGAAGCCTGGGGTTGTTTTTCGCCTCCAGGATTATCCTGGAGTAGAAGGACGAGTTGGCCAAGGCTAGAGTGGAGCGGTAGATTTTGAGGAGGTCCAGCCAGATTTGTCAGTGGACCGTTAGACCAGATTTGAGGCAGGTGCATTCAATGGCCCGCACCTGGCTTTTCAGTGAGTGGAGGTGGGTGGTGAACCAGGGGGAGGAGCGAGAGTAGGGGGCAAGAATGTCGAGTGGAGGAGAGGGTGTTGTGGAGGAGGGTGAGAGCAGAAGAGGAGTCAGTGAGGATTGAAGGCCAGAGGGAGAGGAGTTCAGAGGACTCCCAAGGCAGCGGTTAGGTATTGTGGGGGTAACTTCTTCCAGGGGCGGTAGAAGATGGTGGTGGGTCTAGTGGAGGAGGTGGGTGGAGATGGTGAAGGAGATGAAGTGGTGATCGGAGACAGCCTTGTCGGTTATGGTGACATCCGAGACACTGAGGCCCCGGGTGATCACCAAATCGAGTGGGTGGCCGTGACTGTGAGTGGCAGAGTTGATGTGGAGGGAGAGGTTGAGCGAGGAGAGCAGGGAGGAGATGTTCGAGGAGATGGAGCAGGAGGGGGTGAAGTGCAGGTTGAAGTTGTTCAGGATGATGAGGCGATCAGAGCAGAGGAAGAGAGATGTTAGTAGGGTAGAAATATCGGAGATGAAGGTGGGAGAGGTTTTAGGGGGCCGGTAGAGGAGGAGGATTTTGAGTGAGCGCTTCACAGAATATATTGTAAAATGGATTGACTGTATTTTGTGGACGAACACGAAGGCTTAGAAAAAGAACCAGCTTCGAAACAGAGATGGGATGGAAGAATTTTTTCACTAAAAGTTTAACACAAAGGCAGGGGCTCTGTGAATGGACCATCGTGGGGTCCCGTAGCATCATGATTAGAACACTCACCTTGCAAGCGAGAGGATCTGGGCTCGATTCCCGAGCAGAGCAAAATCTTAGGCAAGTTTTCTTATTCCACACGCCTCTGTTTAACTTGCAGTAAGTAGAAACCTGGTTGTTGGTCAGTTGGGGTATTATTTTTGTGGGGGTAATAATCTCCAAAAAAAATAATAATAATAATTTGTCACTCAGTCCAAGTCTGTTTGTGGGACACTGCCGTGCGCGATTGGCTGCCGCGTTTCGTCCACACAATATAGTCAATCCACTTTACAGTATATTCTGTAAAGTGCTTTAAGACGTCTCGAAAACGGGATAAATTGCTTGAATTATTATTATTATTCTTGCTCAAGGTAGACCTTCAAGCCAGCTGATCACGTGCTTTGTTGTTTGCAGGTGTGTGTTGGCCGAGGGGACGAGACGACCCACTTTATCAGGGTTTGCAGTGGGAAGAAGAAAGGGCTTGTGCCCATAGATATTCTGGATGAAATCTGACTTTGGTTTCTAACCTCAGCACAAGCTGATGGCTTTCACACCGCCTGTGATTCGCCCAGCATTTCAGCTTTGGGGTTTCTTCGCATCCACGTCTAACCCACTCTTCACCTCTGTCGGCCTCTCACTGTTCAGAGTCGCTGGGGAAATGGCACCTGAGATGTTGATGTGCATTAGTGTCTCGTTCCCCACTTCTCCACACACACACACACACACACACACTTACACTTGCCCAAGTGACTCCGTTCAGGACTACAGATCTGCCCTTCACCACTCATTGCGGCCAGAAGTTCTATTCCACCCATCACCACAATATCCACCCTTTACTCTTCGCCAGAACAAAAATGTGTATGTTTAAAAAGCAACAAATATTCACAATGACAATTGTCTTTCTCACTGAACCACCACTGTTTGGACTTTAATAGATCTCACACTTCGGAGATCATCAGAAGTTGGAGCCATTCCCCATTGACAACATCAACATTTAACACTGCGAGATTTTATTCCTGTATTATTTTTTTTTGGTTGGGGAGAAGATTGGGGGGATTGTGGGGACAATTTTATCCCCAAGAAATGCCACTCACTCTTATCCTTTGGGGGTTAGAGAATGGTGCAAAATGGTGTAAGATTCTTAAACCCAGCCTGACTTTGGGGACTGTTTTTCCAAAGTCCTTAAACAGGAACTGGCTTCCAATTTCAGACCGATTCTTCCATTTAAAGGCAAAACAGACTTGCAGGCCAAGACTGGGTGGCATTTGGGGCCTGGTGGGGTAGGATATTAAAGGCCTGGGTCAGGTTCAGCCCAGACTGTTGGGAGGAAGGACTAAGGGTTGGGAAAATGAAATGAGTTTTGAAAACTGAGACGTCAGCGCGGAAGGAGACCGCTGGGCTCTTCGTGTCTGTGTTGTGTTCTGGGAATCGAGTCTGTATCTCATCGGGTGGGGGCAGGGATATCAAATGCAAGGATTATCATTGCTGCTGTTATCACAGTGTCATTAATGGAATGGAAATTGTCAAACCCGAGGGAATGAGGATAAGGATAAATTTGGTTTTCCAGACTGCTATTTTTGTATTCCTTTTATGTCCTGTTCCCATCACACAGAGCAGGATGTCACCACTCTGCAAAACCTTGAGGAAAAAAGTTACTTTTCATAATCTTCTACCAGATCAAGGGAAATCAAATGGCTCTTCTTATTAAGAAATCCATTCAGAAATTAGACACTGTTTGTTAGTTAGTTAATTAGTGGGGGGGGAGGATTATTAAAGATTTCAGCCTGTTTAATAAAGGTTAAAATATTTATATGTGTATTTTTGTACATTGCACCGCCCCCTGCCCGGCTAGTGTTAAAGGAAACGGTCCCATGCGTTTTTCCGCACAAACTCAACACTGGGGATGAAATTAGACTAGAATACAATAATAATCTTTGCAATTGATACAGCGGCTTATCATGTTGTTGAAACGTCTCAAAGTGCTTAACAGGGTTTTACTCTAAAGTCTAGTGACTGTGTACTTTGTAGGTGAACACCAATTTGCGCTTATCAACTTCCCACAAACAGCCACAAAGTGAATCACCAATTTTTTATCTGGGGGATTGTCAGCCAGGAGATTGGGAGAGAGAAACTCCCTTCTCTTTTTAAGTAGTGCCACAAGATCTTTAATGTCCCCCTGAACAGGGCATAGACAGGAGCTCGGTTTAATATCTCATCCAAGGGATGGCGTTTCTGACAGTGCAGGGTTGCCACAGAGTGTCAGTCCAGACACTGAGCTCAAAGCCGCCGATGTGCAACCTGAACCCACAATCTTCTGCCTCGGAGGCGAGAGGATTAGTGACTGAGCCAGGCTGACACACTGACATCAAGTTGTTCAGTATTGAAACGCAACAGACTGCGCTGGAAGCAATAAACTGGAAACCGTGTGAAGGAGCTAAACAAGCCCTTATCATCTCTCGAGCTTGATTGTTTTAATTTCTCTTCATTGCTCTTCACTCTTCGCTGCTATGAGATTTATATCTTTCCAATCCACAGTCAGGGATTAAGGATAACAGTCATTTGGTCTGATACTTAAGAATTTGGATGGTAGCGAGATTTCTGCACTTTGTTTGATGAGCTGGATTTCAGCTGTATAACGTCAAAGAACAACTAAGAATTTAAATAAACTGCAAATTATCCAGATATTAAAAGATAAAGTTGGATTCCTGGTATATTGAATTCACAGTGCTTACACTTAAGATACCTAACCACTCATTGGGTTTGCAATGGCAAGCTGTGCGGTTTTAGCTGGTCAAACACAAACAGTTGACTTCCCCCCCCCCCCCCCCACCACCATCCCCTACCCCACACCACCACCAACTCAAACTTTGAATTTCAGAACAAAATGGTTTGAAAACAACGAGATGAAATATTGGTGTCTTGCCAGCACTGATTCTCTCTCTTTACATTGGTTAGGGACAGAAGGAGGCCATTCAGCCTATTGAGCCTGTTCTGGTGGTGTGTTACTTCATGGGAACTCTTTTAATACACTTTTTCTCTATTGCCCTTAATCCCCTTTTTCTTCCAAATACTGACCTCCCTTCTAAACATCCCGAACAACTTTGCATTCGCAATCCTATGGCCTACAGTCTCACCATCCTCTACATGAAGCAATGATTTCTGAGCAGTTTATCTGAATTTCACGATGATGACCCTTTGGTATGGTTTACATTATTGTGAGCCAGGATCTGAGATGGGTTAAAATGCCTTTGGCTTCTCCCCCACCCCGAAGGCAACTGTTTCACACACTGGAGTGCCTTGAAATCTAAATCCAATGGTCTCCGACAAGGGAATTTTCAATTGGGCTTCGGCAGGGGGTTGATATGGCTTGATGCAATATATATCAGGTTGGAGTAAGTCATCACTCATCTATATGTCCAGTATTGACACTGGTTTAGAGTCTACTAACAAAGAGCGTTGGATGTGGTCCACACTGAGGAAGAAATAGAAGAGGAAAAATGTCTTTGATGGTCTTTGATGGCATTCCCAACCAACTCTTCTAAAACAACAACAAACAGAGCAACAACAACAACATATTACACTTGTATAGCTTCTTTCATGTTGGGAGGGCGACCCAATTGCTGAACAGTCAAGTATTTGCACCTGAACTGGAGGTTAGGATCAGGAAGGGTGGAGGGCAGGGAGGGTAAGAGTAGGAGGATAACAAGGCACGGTGGTAGAGGAGGGTCTTGAGATGGGCCTTGAAGGAGGCAAGGGAGGTGACGAGTGGGATAGAGTTCAAAAGGTGGGGACAGAGGCTGAAGGCTCAACCGCCAATGGTGGAGCGGCAAGGAGGAGGACATAGCATAGGCCAGAGCCTGCTGAGCACAGAGGTCAGTATAAAGTTAGCATTGGTAGAGAGGAGCAAGGCCGTGCAGGGCTTTAAATACGAGGATGAGGATTTTTAACTATCCTCTGCGTGATGGAGAACCAGTGGAGCCAGGCGAGGGTGGGAATGATAGGGTCACGGAGCCTGGTGCGGGAGAGAACAAGAGCTGCAGAGTTCTGAATAATCTGCAGCTAGTCGAGGGAAGAGTTGGGAAGACCGACGAGCAGGGAATTAGCGTAACCCAGCCTAGATATGTTGAATGCGTGGATGATGATCTCAGTGGTCTGAGGGAAGAGGCAGTGGTGGAGCCGGGCAATGTTGCAGAGGTGGGGAAGGCAGAGTGGTTCATGGCACAGATGTGCGGTTTGAAGAACAGTTGAAAGTCAAACAAGATGCCAAGGTTCTGTACTGGCTCAGTGTGGTGCACTGCCACGCACACAAGTAACAAGGATTACTTTCCGTGTGGTTAACCTGGCTGGTCAAAAGAAAGCAATAAAGCTTTAAAACAAAGAGACGTACTCTTATTCAAGAAGATTTGCTATAAACCAGACAGACCAAAGCTCTGCTTACTATCTCACATTCTCTGCTGTGCTTTTCAGCATTATAATGTACCTCACTATGTGCCCTTCACCTCAATAAAACATTAATTAAACGGTTGAAAGCAAAGGTGTATCTCGTCTGGTGAAGAGCACTGACTCCCTGATGCATTTGAAGTAACATGATATGAAGATAACCTCTGGGCCTGGGATGAAGAAAATAATCCTTCCATTTAATACAATGTAGGCAGGATATCTCAAAGCACTTCACAGGATTTGCTGCGAAGTGTAGGGACTGCATTTATAGGTGAACGCAGCAGCCCATTTGTGCATATTGATGTTCCACAAAATAATTCCCCCGAAATGTGATATTTGACAAATTTTAGACCTGAAATTCCACCTAGTCATATTAATAATATTATCCTTGCATTTGATATAGCACCGTATCATGTCATTGAGCATTATTAATTATTATTAAGGCCAGAGTTCCCGGTCCTGATCCCTCTACAACACCCTCTACTGGTTAGATATGTGTGCGCAGGTGACAGCTGGTTGGGGATAGGTTAGGCTCGGCTGTGAACCCTCTGCTGTCAACTAACCTGCCCACACTCACTGCCAAGGCTCACACATGAACACTATGGGAGTTGGGGGCTGGGTGTGCGACCAAAGGACAAACAGCACCCCTGGAATGGCAGCCCAGTGAGATGAGGCCAGACCAGGAGCAGTAATGTAAAATAAATCTACAATGTGAAAATTAGTATGGATGATAATTAGCACATCACATAAGGTACAGAGTTTTTTACCCAATATTATTTTTTCCCCCTTCACAATTTCTCTCATTGAAGACTGAAGAGGCTGTTCAGAACTTTGTTCGACTATCAACTGTCCTTTATACCTAACATTTGTGCCTTGACCCATTCAGCTTTCCCCCACCTCCGCAATATTGCTTGCATCTACCACAACCTCTCCCCAGGAAGAACTGAGACTCTACTCCATGCTTTCATCATGTCCAGGCTAGACTATAGTAACTCTACTTGCTACACTATGTGCCTCTACCCTTGTGTCTTCTCATGCACCAGGCTCCGTGAGTCTATCACACCCATCCTTGCCCAGCTCCACTGGATCCCCATCCTCCAGAGGATTGAGTTCAAGATCCTCATCCTAATCTTTAAATCGCTTCGCAGTCTTGTCCTCATATTATCTATGTGACCTCCTCAAACCCTACCAACCCGCCCGCTTGCTCCATTCAGTAGGCACTGGCCTGCTTCAGGTTCCCTGACCTGCCCGCCCCACCATTGTTGGTCAGGCTTTCAGCCTGTCTGCCCCCCAACTCATCGCGAATCCCTTTGACTTGACCTATCTCTTACCTCCTTCAAAATCCATCTCAAGACCTTCCTCTTTGACTACGCTTTCGTCCATCTTTCCTCCCCCTCACCCCCTTATCCCCTACCGCTCAGCTCCCACGTCCATTTCAGGAGCAAATACTAGGCTGTTTGGCTTTTTGGGATGTCCTCCCAACATAAAAGATGCTTAATAAATGTAAACTTGCAATGTTTTGCAAGTTCATTGACCAGTGGCCACAAATACAGTCACTGCAATTTATGATAATTCATGTGAGGCTTTTCGAGATAACTAGATGATGTGATAAGGCTCTGTCTCAAACACAAGGATCATTATTTATTTATTCTCAGTGAAGTCCTGGTGCTTGCTTTGCGATCTGGAGCACTTCATTTAAAAGAATTCCAAGATTCACGTGACCTTTCAAAGGTGGAGTGTCACATTGAAACACAAGTTGGCTTTTCTCCAGTTGTGCTGGAAGCAGAGACTTGCTCCGACAGTGGGAATGGGCAGAATGTCAATTACTACAACTAATTGGTAGCAGGTGTTGTGCAAATAACTCGTTTGTTCTGACTCTCTGAGGGCAAAATCCATTTAGTGCACAGATCTTTTCTGTTACAATGTGATGTAATGTGAAATGTGCTATATAAATGGTTTGTTATTCATAACTAATATTTATAATCCTTACATATGATACATCGCCTTTCACATCAGGAGGATGTCTCAAAGTGCTTCACAGGATTTATTGTGAAATGTAGTGACTGTGTATTTTGTAGGCAAATGCAATTGAGCACAGCAACATCCCAGAAACATCCACCGTAGCGTCTCCCTCCCGCCACCTCCCACCAACACTGCACTGGAGTGTCAACGTGGTTTTGAGCAAAATGTCCTGACGTGGGGCTTGAACCTGTAATCTTCTGACTCAACAACAACAACAAATTACATTTGTATAGCGTCTTTGACTCAGGAGGATGTCACAAGTTGGTGAAGTGCTGCCTACAGTGGCGAGCATGCTACCAACTGAGCCAGGCAGAAGATGTTGTTGTTGCTCATATCCCTGTGTACTGAGATGGACAGCTTACTGGTAGCTCATTTCACTGATCTTCTTATTGGCCGTTTATGAACAGATGACACTTTCATTGAATCATCTATCAGAGGCATCAATTGCCTGTGAAATCCAGGATGCTTCAATAAGACCAAACCCCAATTCTCCAGTGTAACGTTGA